GGGTGTTGTGATTTCCCCCTGCCATACTGAGAAATGTACTGCAGAATACAAACCACCATTTTGTGGGGGTAAACATTTTTCAGTGGACCCCCCCGTCCCAGTCTTATGGGACTCAGCATTTAGATAAAAAGATAAAACTCAACTTCTGAATGGTTTGAGATGTGTTTACTTACAAGTAGGTCACTCTTCTGGACCTATACCACATAGCTAGGGTAAGAGAAAAGGATGAGGGATATATATATATTTTTTTTATATATATATATATATAACCACAGGGGTTATTTCTGGGGGGCCTCCCCTGTACAGTCTGAAGCACCACAGAACTACTTAACTCCACAGGGGGCTGCAAGGTGCGTTTAGTTACATGAGTTAGTGGGGGCTTTCCTGGGATGTTTGCAAGGGACTGAGAATGAGCAAGAGCTTAGGTTCAAAGATGCTGCTCTGCTGAACAAAATTAAGTAGAAGATCATGGATCAAGGCCTGTGGTATCATCTGTGACAGATTATTTTACACTTCATAAACTTGCAAGATGCTAAGTGCAGGTTTTAATTTAGCATTGTAAAACTGTATTTATAGTGCTTTACATTAAATGATACTCAGAGTTTATTACAATATATCTGGGTCTTTTTGTGTTTGCAAAGGAAATACCTATTCACTTCAATTTCATTGCTGACAATAGTCTACCTATGAGTAATAAAAAAAAATACATACTAAGAATAACAATTTCAAACAGAACTCATTGTAAGTATGAGCCAGAGTTTGTTTAAATGACTTACTCAGTTTCTAAGGAGAAAATCTTTGCTTGGAGATGTGCCCGAGTGCTGCTCAAATCAGACAATATGTTTCCCATTTCCTTCCGGTGATCCTGTTTCAGTATGTCCAGTTCTTTTTTATGCTTGATATTGAGGTCTTCTAACAGTAGCCTTCCATTGGTATTAAAATATGTCTGAATTCTAATTTTTCAATACTAGTTTATTATAATTTATCAAAGCATGCAGTTTTGAGGTCTTTTACTGACTACAAAGGCAATTAACTGGGCACAGCTCTAGGCTTCTGCTTACTGATTTGACTTTGACATTTCATTTGCAATCTGAAGTAGAACCACATAGAGGAAAGAGGAAAATTATTTGGAGACCTTCAGGCTTCAGGAAACAGAACATCTATTCTATATAATGATGCTATTCATATTCTGTCTGTGGTTAGTTTGTATAGCAATCTTAATGGTCAAATATGAGCATAAAGTACTGTAGGAACTCACTTGTGTTAAGTAAAATTATTTTGAAATCTCTGGGATTTTAACATGAGGCTCTGATGCTGTATTTCTTCACATTATGGCACCAGAAACATTTAATACTACCTACCACAATTCTAAAAATGTATTTTAAAAAAAAAATGAAGGCAAGAAACATTGTAACAATGCCTTTAACCGCAACATTTGTCTTTAACAGACAATATATTTTGAAAGATACTGCTATTTGATTAACACCATAAACTGAAAACTAAAAAATACCTAACATTTTTTCAAGCCTAGCCATAACATTGCTTTCTGATACCAGCCCCAAAAACAACAGACATCTAGTGAAGAATCATTGGTAGCTTGTTGCCTTTTGTTTGCTCATGTTTTGTTAAACCTTGGAGAAACTTTTTCATTAACTCAATGCAGAGCCCATGTTCTGTTGCTTACTGATTAAAATAGAGATATGAGGTTAACAATTGTAATTTACACAACAGATATTGTTTATCTTTTTTTTTTTAAATGTATTTCTAAGCCACTTTCACTTGTTTCTGAAATGCTTCAGGAAAGACCAAAAGACCCACAAAAAAGATTTCTGCCCTTGCAAATAGAGCACAGCCATGGGAGTGACTGATTTGGCACTTGGCACAAGATAAGAAGCAGAAGAATAAGAGTAAAAATGGGAGCAGAATCCCTGAAATGGATCTTCAAGGGCAGAATAAAAGCTCTCCTTCAGAACAGCCATCCTGGGACTTGTCCTCTCTTCCCATCAAAAAATATTTGTCAGCTCTCATCCTAGTCCTTGCAAAAGGTTTCTCTACTGGAGATGGAAATCACACAATTCAAGAGAATGGAAATGGGAATGATTACTTCAAGCAGATTACTGGTTTCACTTACTTGACAACAGTAGGAATAGTAATTTTAAATAATTGGTTATAAAAATTTGGCACATGCAAATGAAGCTACTATCAGCTTTCAAATCAGAAACAACTATATAGCGTAAGACAAGGTCACTGTTGTTAAAGTAGCAGTAAAAAAGCTGTTATTTATATGCACTCACCAATTTAACTGTTCCCCTACCCAAATTATTGGTCCTGCAAAAGCAAAACAAGAGCTGCAAGCTAATGCTCCAGATCTTCCACGGGTTAATTTCAGAGCAGCCTCTACCAGGTGCCCAGGACCATTTCAGCTCTTTGGTTCTACCTCCTGTTATTTGAAGGATTTCTCCTTACATAATTTCCATTAATGCTTCCTTCTCAAATGCTTACTGTAGTGGAGCTACACCATCTATCCCCTGTAAAGATTATCCTCCAGCCCAGCAGCTTTTAGCATTTGAGGCCTTTTAGACCTCATCACTGACACGTGAATAATTCTATTCATGAACAGAGGCTCTAAATTCCTTCAAGACAGCTGGAGGGCACTGATGAAACTTTCTGGTTTGCAATTCTTTCTGTTGATCTTGCTTCAAAAGCTTGAAATGAAAGTCACTTTCATGTACCTCTCCAAAGAGTGCAAAGGGGGGGGAAAAAAAAAAAAATTCTTCCTCATTCTTTAAATATCTACTGACTGGTAGTCAGCAACGGAATTACTCTGGCCACTCGTGACAGTCTGCCAAGAGACACTGTATCCCTTGAGTGCTTTTCCCTAGACTATATAGGACATAATTTTAAAGATTCCTTTAAGGGTATAGTCTTCAGAAATCCTTTCATATATACAGCTTGTGTAGTTAGGGTCATACATTCTACACTGTTGCTGAAATGAACTGAAAGGTACCCATGCACCACATCCCTCAGTCTCTCCACAAAGAGATGTGTGAAGAATGATCATCCAGAAATTTCAAAGCATTCAACAGCCACACAAACGCACTGGACAGTGAACCCCAGTCTTGTCTCCCATGTAAAAGGTCAGTCAGTCCCACACTTTCTCTGTATGCAAATGGGAAGACTGTTACTACTGCAGCACCACAGGTGCTCCAAGGTTGTGGCTACACTAAGAGAATGCACTCCACCATCTATAAAGACAGCCAAGACTACAAGTCAGCTTGCCCTTCCTGTGCCCTGACAGCATAGTACAGCTCCAGGCTTCCATTAGCACAGAGGCACTGTCAGTATCTGCTGTCCCTGCTCTTACTCCTCCGGTGCAAAGCAGAGTCTCACAGAGTACATGTGGCATTCTCAAGTGTTCCCTTGAGAGTCAATAACCCATTGGTTTCAGCTACAGAGAGTACATATAAAAAATTATATCTATTCTCAGAGATTTCTAAATTTTTGTAATAGCTCTTGGGCGAGTCTGGGATTTGTTTATGTCTTCCAGTGCCTTTCAAAGGCTGATGTTATGCAGATTTTCTCAGGTCACCCCTGTGGGGCTACGCTGGACATATTTCTCTGTGACATATAATGAACAGTTAGTTCAAATGCTTTTATTATGGCTGGAGAGAAATGCAAAATGAACTACTGCTTTTATAAAACTCAACCTCTAAAATTAGTACTTTAGAATGGAGAGATTCTGACAGCACATTGAGAACACCTCTGATGCTGGCATTGTTACTGACTCTCTAGATAACACTGTGAAGTGTGAATTTAAGGCAAACCTTCTGTGCCGTTTCTCCCTATCCTGAAGCTCTGCAGCTTCTTGCTTCTGTGACTCCAACTCAGCACTGAGTAGCTCCATTGTGTCCTTCAAAAGTAAATTCTCTTTCTTGAGTTCAGAAATTTCACTCTGACATTTTTCCAGTTCACCATGAAGAGATCTGATCTGGCTCTGGCTACTTCCTTCCTAAGAAAAAGGACAAATTTAGTTATTCACAGCCTCTAATTATTTAATGTGAAGAGCTCACTGGAATTGTGTGCACTGAATTTTTGTGACCCGATTTTTCAATTATATGTGCAAGACAAAAAAAATAGTATTTTATTGCAACATTCATTCATTTATTTGTGTTGTAGATTCTAATCTTTAAATGGAAAAAAAGCTTGCCCACAGGGAAAAGATGATAAACAATGCTAACTTTTTAAAAAGTGTGACGTAAGGGAAGGAAACTCACTCCATTTCTGTAAGAGATTCTGTACACTTCCATTATCTCTGGAGTGAGAAGTTTGATACTATTGCTTTCACAAAACATGACATGCAATGAAGTAGGAACTGGATTCTTGCCTGTTGCTTCTTCAGTGTCCTCTCACTCCTCAGCTCTACTTGGAGTTCTTCTATTTGTTTCTTGAGATTACTGCATGATGTCTGTTGCTCAGAAAGTTCCACCCTTAGAGATCCTAGTAGCAATCAGACAAACAGTCATTAAGACAGTCAGAGGCCAGCTGGATGGGGAAGGTAGATATAGACAGTGTAGATGAAAACATTAATACATTACATTTTGCTTTGTTCCTCAGCTCCTTTGCCATTAAGTAAAATGTCTCCCTATTCCTAGAAAAGCAACTCGGCTGAGCAGTAGTAAGAAGATAGGGAGATACAATAGCAATGATTCAACATCGGAATCAGAGAGGTAATTCTGTGGCAGCTGTTGTGCAGGTGAAATCACTATAATTGCTTCTTCTAACCTTGAACTTCACTGGAGCACCCCTGAGCTTCCCTGTTAAGTCCACTGGTGTTTTGTAGAGGGCCATAGGACACAGTGAGGAGACCTCTGGTTGTGTTAGAGAAGTACCACACTTATGTAAGCAGATCTGTCATATGCTGCAACTTTTGTCTATATTTGGTACAAGTTCTGGGATGTACCAAGTACATGGAGAAAGAAGTTTTTCTCTCTATTGTCTCCCTACAATTTCTCTTGAAGAACAGAATTTATCTATTGAACATACAAACTTTAGAGCAAAAAATCTTTCTAGCAAATCTGAATTCCTGAAAAAAAAACAAGAAGAGAATGCAGTTTGCACTTAAAGTACTTTCAAATTATTCTTTCTTGAATTAAAAAATCTTTTATAGATGAGCTTTAATGACCTGAGTTCAAACCCGGAGATATTACAGGTCCTGTAACAATGCTGTGTTTAAACAGTTTAGGGAACTTTCTAAACTGACTAAACAGTATGTACAGAGCAACTGATCTCCACTGCTGAACTGAATAGAACAGATGTAAACCACATATAATAATTCCTCACATCACAGAAAAAAGAGGAAAGTCATATACACTAACTACAACAATTTAATGTACCTGACAATGCATACTTGAATCTTGTACACCAGCCTACTCTCCCAGCAACATTCTGCTGCTGAGAGTTGAGAGGTAGGTTAACAAAGAATATTTAGTCTGTATTGCTGAAATTGCAGGGTATGGAAAAGGAGATTCACTAAGATCTTAGTTTCCAGAAGACAGGAAAGGAAATGAATGGGAGGGAAGTCAGTGCTTCTCAGAGTATAATCAAGCAGTAGGAGCTGTGCATGACATGAGACATTGTACCTAGCAACAGGCTTTGCTGCTTCTGTATCTGCTCGAGTTCATCATGTAATTCTTTCTTTGCTTTCTCTTCCAAGGTTTGTATTTCCAGCCTATGAGACTGATGTTGGATCTTGAAAGTCTCATTAAATTCCTTTTTCAAACGTTCTTCTGCCTCCTGTAAGCAAAAGCCCCCCCCAAAAACAAGGTAGTTGGAGCCTATTTATATCTTCTTGTTGTTTTACTTGTAATGCCAGGATGAACCTGGTCTTTCATTGTAGAACTTTTATTTGCATCACCACTTTACATGACACTTCATCAACTTAAATAAAAATGAGCTGAAGTTAAAAATTAAAACTTAACAGGGACAAGAGAAATTATTAAGATACCATCTATTAGATATGTTGTACATGATGAAATAATATCACTGATGCCCTTGCACTATTTGGCATTAGAAAGATGTTTTATTATTCAACATACAAAGTGTAGTAAGATAGGGTCTGGCGGCCGGAAGACCATATCTTACTACAACAAAGTGCCCCAGATTCAACCTGTATGTCAATGACACATCACAGTGTGTCAAAGGCTTCTATCTTTCCTTGTATCATTCTTGGCTAAAACTTCCACTGTCTTTAGAAGTCCTGCTGATACACTGTAAACGATGGAGCAGTTGCTCTGCAGAGGCTCTGAAAGCAAACTCCTATCCTCAGTTTCACTTTTACCAGCTTATGGCCTTCAGGTTGGTTTTGTTAAAGATGGGATTTTATTCTGAATATATAAACATAGTAGTAAATTCTACTTAGGGTAGTTTTACTACTTATGTTTTATAAAGAGGTTTTCGCTAAGGAACATCTGAACTCCATGTCACGATCATGTGTAGCTTTTTTAAGTTGATTTTTTTTTTCCTCAAAAAGCAACATTCTTTAGAATCTCAATATATTGCATTGACTTTTTTTCACCGAAATAAATCAACCTGAACCATTAAAAGCTTTGGTAATCCACTTACAGAATTGATTTATTGAAGGTATGCAATGCAATACACATCATTATACACATACTCCTTTTAAAGTATTTATGTATAAATTAACATTAGATGAAAAAGAATAAAGCTGAGTCCTGTTAATAATACACTTGGGAATTCCCCTGTATTTCTGAAGCAAGAGCACAGCTAGAGGAAATTGAATTCACTGCAGCCTAACTGTACAGGGTAGGATATATTATTTTATGAAACTATTCCATTCACACTGTGGTCTAAGTTCAAATGTTAAAATAAGAAAAAAACAAACCAACAAACTGAAGACGATGACTTTTGAAAATCACAGAGTAATCCATTATGAGCAACAATGGCAATCCATCTTTAAGATAACTGGAGATAACTGAGTTTTGATAATTGTCTCTAGCTAATAATATTTACTCCACAAATACTTTTTTTTTTTTTTTCAGACTAATATGTCATAAACTGACCTTGAGTTCCTGATTTTTGTTTTTCTCCAACATTTTTAAGACCTTTTGATGCGATGCCTCCAGCTGCAGTTTAACATTCTGGTTTTCTTTAATGGTGTTTTGAAGATCCTGCAAAAGCTTCTCTTTTTCTTTGCTGGACTGTAGATTATGTTTCTTCAGTGACTCCTTGAAATTGTTTGCTTGTTGGTCTAATATTTTCTTCAGCTGAGCCACCTTCCAGAAAAGTAAGCCAGCAGGACAGGATTAATGGCTGCATTCACAATGGAGAGGAATTATGTAAATTTGAGTACATTTTATGAATTTGTATCGCTGTATGAAAAATAGCAAGATCTTTGTTTCGTGCAAGAAGCCCTTTTTTGGTAAAGAATGACATCCCTTTTGCATATACTGTCTGTTGTCCATCAAGTACTTAAATTATTTCTTTTCAAACCATTTCCATCTCATATGTACAATCCATAGTTCAGCTTGAACAATAATTATGGCACAAACCAGAAGGCAGGCTACGGCTGTGCTTATTGCCATCCTGGAGATGTAACACTGCAGAGTTCATTTATATAAAGCAGTAGATTAGAACCCAAGGAAACAAGAATTCTGCACGTCACACTTCAGATTTGTTTTATTTTCTCCCCTCTGTTATCTTAATTACTAAATAAAGTCGACATATCTATAATGGCTGGCATAAAAGTTACAAAAAATACCTGTTTATAAGAATAACTTAGTCAGGTTTATTTTGGTGGCTCTGTTCTCTCTCACAGTGGTTGAGCATGCTGGCTCCTCTCCTCCAAAGGATGTGTTTTCTCCCTTCCCTCTCCTGAGGCCCTTCTCCATTCCCAGATGGATCACAGCCCTTACTCAAGTACTCTCAAGTGCCTCTACTCTTCTCACAGGTTCCCAGCACAGGACTGTGCTCTAAAGGCTCAAAATGCTGCAAACCATAGACCTTGTATCAGTTCCCAGGGTTTCAACTGCTTTCAGAGAAAGGACACTCCATACTCCCACTTTATGACCGAACCTTCAACTACATTGTACCTTGACGTGTCTTCACTTCTAGTCCCAACTTCTGCTTTTAACATTTCTTGGCATCTACTCCCTTCTCTCTAGAATTTATACAGGTCTTTATGTCCCAGAAATGAATCCTGATATTAAAGAAGAAAAATTAATGTGAACCTTTTTTTTTTTGTGACACCCACAGCTTAGAAAAAATTATTTCGACTTGATTATTTTGTCCTATTTTAATTGGTTTTTTTTCTACAGAACAACTAAATAAGGGCCTGAAAACACTGTAAAAACTTGCTATGTTTTGGTCTGTTGGCAGTTTAAAATTTTGAGTAAAAAGCTTGTGTTTATCAGATAAAGATTATTTTTCTCTCCGTAAGCATGATTCATGTGAAATATGAATATTCATGGACTTCACATGCTGTGGAGATAACTCAAAACCTGTCATGTGAACACACACATGTATCATGAGAACTATGTAACTTCCTCTACTACATCTGGTTTCTGTATCTCTTGTAAATAGCTACAAGAGTTACTGTTCCATTTTTGAGTAGGTTTATGACTGCAGAACTGCTGTGATATACACAAGTCAGTACACTGTGTTCCTCCCATTTAAGTAAGAGTTTGTCCTTTACTTCAAATCCACAAGTCAGATTCTTTTTCTTCAGTTAATTGGTGGTGGTCATTACTGATCATCACTGATCTTTTGGAGGAAAACTTCAGTTTTCCTCCAAAGCTCTTCCAAGGGCTTGCTCACAAAGGGCCATACTGCTATCATAACTAACGTGGATTTCCTTTACCGGATGGGGCAGTATGCTATGTTTGAATCTCAAAGTTCCTCAGCTTTATTACTGATGTTTCACATGTTCTGAGATCTACAACAGTATCTATGATTTAGACATGATAGAAATCTGCAAGCAGAGATGAACCTTGTTAAAAAACACTTGAGCAAAGCTACCCGCTTGGGCAGTTGACTTCCTCCTATTTGGTGGCCAAACCAAGCAATCAATAGAACTTCTAGTCAAACCAATCCAAATGAAACATTTTTGAATGTACATATCAAAATGAAAAATTAAAATATTTCCTCTAGACTGAATTCCATGTTTTTAGAAATGGCTTTATTCACAGAACAGATGGGAAGAAAAGATGGCAGCAGTGGCCCTGCTTTGTGTGTGTGAGAGAGAGAAAGGAAGCACGGAGGCACAGAAAAATGGAAAACACAAGAGAGTATGTGCATGTGCATATGAAGGTAACTGGGACACTTACCCAAGAGATGAAGGCCTAGGTTGTCCAGTGATGACTTAATATACAAGTGAAGAAGTGGCAACAGGTGACACACTGTAGGTCACCTGGTTTTATCCTATAACCTAGTGACAAGGGAACTTTTTACATGGTGGGAAAGCTGACAGAAGGAGAAAAAAAACCCAAACAACCCCCCCAAACCAAAACAAATAAACACCCCCCAAAACAAACAAACAAACAAAACCAGGCCCAGCTCTCCCACACATCATGGGAATTCTAGGTTGGTAGATAAGAAGAAAGCAAACATTCCTTCACTCACTGTTTTTCAAATTTAGTTTTTTATTTTGGACTAAGTGACAGAAAATGAAAGATTAGTTTTACCAATTCCTAATCAATTTCAAACTCACATGGTACATTTGAATGTCATCGAAGTTACCCAATGAAATTGAACTGAGTTAGAAAATTTCAAAGAGCACCTAGCTTCAGCTGCCCAAAACTATGAGTTTAAGTTAATTAATTATCCAGTCTTTTCTTGGGTTTTTCCTTTGTGCCATCCAATTAAACACAAATAAAACTATCTGTCTGAACAAACTAGTGAAGAATAATTGCTAAATATTAGTTTTAATGAAAAACATTAATTGTCTTTAATGTGTCTGTGTGATGGGATCTATCTGGGGCCTGGATACACTCCAAGAACAGGCAGATGCCAGAGCCACTTGCCAGCCACACCTTTGTTTCCAGAGCTGTTGCAGTTTTTGTTTATTATTTTTTTGAAATACAAGTGGTAAATCATAAGTTTTAACCAAAGGGGCACTTTGGTTTCTGGTTACAGGTAAAACATTTACTTTGTCTTAATACCTACTGAACTTAAGCCAATGTTTTCCTATATAAAAGAAAAGAAAACATTGATGTTTTTAGGTGTTGCAGTTCCTTATAAAACTAACCTTTAATGTGAAATACTTAATGCTGTACAGTCCCCTGTATTAGCTGATGCAATATGCATTAGAACTATTACAGTCAAGCAAGCATTTTTTTTTTTTCTGGGCTTCCTGAAAGTAAGCCAGTGAGTAAAAAGGATGTGCCAGAAAAATGGGCTGTATATTTTCTAATAGGAAAATTGGAAACGGGAAAAATGTTGCTTGGAATATTTCTTTTGCAAATTAAATATTCATCTAGGTAAGGAAGATGAAAAGAGACATATATAAACTTCAGCTGTGGTCATAACATTATTAGCCTTCCACTCTTCATAGACAATTATTGGTTCAAAGCACTACTAACATGAACCATAAGATCATACTAACTAGAAATAGGCTAAGCAGTAAATTGGTAGCAATAGGTAACAATGTAGCAAGAAATCAGATTGAAAAGTATTTCTAAAATTATTATTTTTCAGTGATTCAGGAAAAAAGATCTACACAAATATGTCAGGCATACAAACACACTCTTTCTCGTGAATCTTGCTACTTCTAACCTATTAGAAGTTAAGAAACAAACAATTCCATCCCATCCAACTCCAGGAGGTTCCCTCCTCCTGTCTCTCAATTAAAAAGGCTTTCAATTCCACCACTGCAAATCCTCCTCTGGAAAAATCCTCCAGGGATTTTATTGTGTTTAATTGCTTCAAAACAGATAGTCAGACCCTCAATCTGTTTAAATTGGTAAAATGACGTTTAAGGTGATGAAACTATGCCAACTCACATCGGTCCAGAATCTGTTTGGCTCCTTTTACTATTAAGAAACCAGCAACATTGTGCAACATCGTGTGGTTTTGTGTTTTATAATGTCTTCCTGCTGCAAAACAAAACCTCTTGAAAAAACTCTACCTCTAGTTATTTATTTACTTTTACCCATCAGAATCGCATAAAGTGGTCTTAAAGATGCAACTAATACCTATCCACAATATAAACTCTAGGCAACACTATTTTTTTAGGCTCTGCTGAATTCTTTTCAAATTTCATGGTTATGTTTGTACTTGACCTTCTTACAACAGCTGATTTTGCCCCCCACTGTCTTCCAAGCAAAGAAAAAATTAACAACTACTACCAAAAGAGGACAGATAAGTTTTGAAATATTTCAAAAGTCTTCCAAGTTTAATTCTTTTCTAACCATAATTACTGTCCTTCTTCTGGGAAAGATGGCTTGATTCTTTTGAAGAAGAACCTCTCAGACTTTGATAGCCCATGGGCAAAAATACTGGGCAAATATAAGCCTGTGCATGCCATCATGGTTGGTTCCCCCATTTGACTTCTGCTCTGATTACACTGTGCTTGCAAGCACTATGAATACTTGAAGTCTATCTTATGTCTGCTCTCCTCTTCTTTCATTTATTGTATGTAAGAAGCGTGACATCTCAAAGGCAAGATCTAAAGTTGGAATCAGAGAGAATATATTGACTTCCTTTACCTTTTAAGTAGAAAGATTTGGGTTTCTCAGTGCATTGCTAGGGGATGAATTTATATAAAAGACTTAAAACTGTCTTTTGATGTATTATAGAAGAGTCATCACAATTGAGAATTTGTTGAGTCAAAATAAGGCACACAAATGCTATCGGGTTTTACTCATACTACGATGCTATCAAATCAAAACAGTAACATAGTATGAGAAGTAACAACAAAATAATGAAATTACGTTTTACTGATGTATTTAGGCTTATTTCAGTTACTTCAGTCAAGTTCACAGTTAACTGCCTTGCTAAACCTATGGCAATTCCTGACTGGAGGGACAGGTGTGAACACACCAGGCACACCTCTACTGCTGCTATTTGGTTGCACCTACAAGACTTCCATCAAGGCTCTGTTTTGCATTCCTGTGCTAGCATTATTCAAAGATGTATCATGACAAGGTGATGCCTGCGCTTCCATTTTATGTACCTTCTCCTTCCAGACTAGCCCCCTAACACACGTTGAAGAGATCCTATAGTGCAAAAGCAAGGAATGACTCTTAATGAATTAGCATTCGACCCACACAGGATCTCACATCCTTCCTTCCAAAGGACCAAATAGGTGTGAATCCAATTTCTTTATCCAGAAAAATCCCAGTAATACAGAAATACTGCCACTTTGAAGTGCATCCCCAGAGAGATGCACTTATCATCCAGTGCATCATCCATCTCCAGAGAGATGAAATTATCATTATTCTGCCTACTCTGCGTAATGCTCTAGCTATGTCAGCCCAACCAAAAATGTGCCTTATGCAGCCAAGGAGGCTATTTTTAGATCTGAAATTGTATCCAGGTTAGAACTGGATTAGTAACAGCACATTGCCTAACCTTTGAGGCGGAATCTCTGGGCTGAGCCATTGGTTCCCAGCTGGGAATCGTGCCCTCAGTGAAACACAACGTTGTAAATTGTGGTTTCTTGGCTGTGATTATTCACATAGTTATAGAAGGAAAGTATTATAAGTGGAAATGACTTCAGTTCCCTGACAATACTGCCAAGTAGTTGGTTCAGAAAGTAACTTATAGAGTACCAAGAAAAATGCAAAATTTCTCTTCAGAGAGAGCATTTCCTCCCTTTTGGGAGAATTATGAGATGCTAAGATACACTAAAACATTTCTTAGTGAATCTGTTCATACTTACCATGGTGTTGTGAACATAACATATGGCATGATATATACTATTTTATATTATTTATTTATGTTTATGTGTATAGTGGCAATAATTTCCTACCACCCCTTGCATTTACCATGATGTCATGATATGGGAGGACTACCAGTTAGGAAACAGGTTTCTTTCCTATTTTTCTGTCCTGAATGTGTGACTTCTAGAAGAGTAATGTGATGACTCACTGCCTTACTTTTCCAATCACAAAACCTGAACAATAATTCCTTCATGTCATAAGTCTTCTGATTTCTTTGAGACCTTTCAGTGGAATATACCACCTGCATGCATATACACAACACTGTGAGATCGGACAGTGTGCCACTACTCCTTCCTTCCATCTCTTCAGTCTTCTCCAGGCTAAACAGTCCCAGGTCTCTCAGCCTTTCCTCATAAAAGAGATGCTCCAGTCCCCTAATCTTTATAATCCTCCACTGGACTCTTTCCAGTAGTTCCTGGTCTTTCCTGAACTGGGGAGCCCAGAACTGGACACAGTATTCCAGATGTGGCCTCACTAGGGCAGACTAGAGAAGGAGGAGAACCTCCCTTGACCTGCTGACCATGCTCTTCTTAATGCACCCCAGGATACCATTGGCCTTCTTGTCCATGAGGGCACATTGCTGGTTCATAGTTAATTTAATGTACTAATCTGGAAAATTTACATCACTTGGCCTGGAACTGACTACACATTACAACTGTTACAGGTGGATAATCTAATACTAACACATCTCAGGTATTTATTTCCAGATTAATCCATGTCTGCAGTTTTGCATTGTGACTTAGGTGTACCCAGAGTGGGGAGGAGTACATAAACTATGACATCCTCAAAGCTGTTTTGGGGTCACAATGCTTTCTGTATTTCCTTCTTGATCTTGAGAACATAAAGGGAGGCATAACTAACTACTAACATATACTAAATTATTGCACATTCAAATCTGTTTCAGTTATCACCCTTACCATCAAGCAGGCAGAACAGAAACAATGATCTATTCAACCCTTTTTCCATTCAATTCTCTTGCTCAAGGAAGCAAGCAAGCAAGCAGGCCCTTTTACATGTCTACACACATGGAAAAAAAAATCAGAAAGTCAACAAGAGCTGTAAGGAAGATTCTAATCTCGCTTAGCCCTGTATACAGATGAACAGTCAGAGTCACCATCCATCCCTGATATAGCCAAACTCCTCACCAAAAAGCCTTATTACATCTCCAAAGATTGATACATGAAATTTATCAAAATAAACAGGCTTGTTAAAATCTTAATAAATGTTCAGGAACAGTAATTTCTGTTCTTTCTAGCTAAAGTCCTTGCATATTTTCTTAAATGATAGTCACAGCAAATACGATTAAAATCTAATCAAGAATGTCTCAGATGACAGGAAAAATGAAGAGCTCTTTTATTACTGGGTTAGATTTAAGCTCAGTTTACCTCAAGTGAAGCGTTTTGAAGTTTCCCAGTTAGGACTTCTTTCTCTTTCACTAGTTGCTTTAGTTCACACTCAGATTTTCTTTTAAACTCCTCTAGCTGTGTCTGGAGCTCCTAAATTATAAAAAAAAGAAAAAAACCCCTATGCAGTAGCTGGGACAAAACATGCAGCATGAAAAAGAAAGAACATTTCATTTCTTTTATATTAACCTAGATAATAGAGCAGTTTACACAGTAATACATGCTACTGATTACAGAAATAATACGTGCTACTGCTACACTCATGTATTATTCAATCAAATAAGTGTTAACAGTTTGGTTTGATTCTTTCTAATACTAGTGTTAGACAATACAGCTCACATAATCCTTATCTTCTACTGAAAGCTTCCCTGAGGTGGAAAACTACAGCATGAAGAGTGAGACTGTTTTGCCTTGAGTGGTCTTAGTGTTCAAAAATAATTTAGTATGCAAGAGTCACCCACAAGATCTGAAAAAACATAAATATACATTGACCATATAAATAACCAGATGACTAACTAATGGGCAATTAGTGCAAAACGGAATCAAAGGAAGCACTATCTTATAGCATCCATAAAGAAAATCCCAGTGAGGAAGTAAAAATAAAATAAAATAAAGAATTGAAGACTAAGTAATCACCTTATTGCTGGAAATAGTTTTTGAAAAACAAATTATAATACCCCTTGCAAGACAGTGACCGAGAGCTTGTAGCAATTGTTTGTAGCAAATGTGAGCAATTGTTTATTGTAGAAAGACTGAATGGGCAACTTTTAGAAATGTCCTGAAGTGATATATATTACAAGCTTATTAGTGTGCTTGCTCTTCCTATTTGTGCCAGTTTGCTGACTCAAAAAAATATACTACCATATTTTCAGACACCACAAATGGAAGAAACAGAGAAAAACCAGCAATTTAACACCTCACCCACCCTGTACAGCCCCTTCTTACAGCCCTCTCCCACCCCCATTTTTATAGCACGACTTAAGAATTCAAGATAACAGAAAAAGCACGTAAAAACTAAGAAAGTGGTAGTTATTGGGAGGATGGCATAACGTTAGGAAACAGAAGCACAGGCAACAGTCACATATTCATTGCAACTCATAATTAAATAAAGGAAAATACATTATCATTTCACAGTTTAAAAACAGGATAACTGTTCGGTAGCAATGAAAGGATGGAATCATATGAATATTGCAAGGGAGAAAATAGCTTTAGTTTTGCCTGTAAGAAAAGGAGAGAATATAATGTTCTTTTTGATTAAACCCTGAAGATCAAGTGTTTGCAGCATTCCCACTGCAACTCTGCCCACCAACTTCCTTCTCTAAATCTTAATTCTTCTATCTGGAAAATAGATACAACACTTCTAAAACAGCTGTTACAGGCCTTAATTGCATCAGAGGATATAAACAGCATTTGTAATGAAAAATATAGTAATTTTTAAAAAGTTTTACTAACTCAAGATTTTCTGATTTAATTAATATGAATCTCTAAGAAGAGATGATTATAAGCAATAATATTTATTGCCTATAAGCAATAAATGCCTACTATGATGCCTTTTTTACTAAAGTATAAAATGTTTGACATTTAATTTTGATCTGACTCACATAAAGAGCTTCAGCCTAGTAATTTTAAGTATACCTGGCATAATTTTAAGTATACCTGTATAAACTTATTCACATAAAAGAATACACTATATAAAAGGCCAAGTCCTTTTCATAAAGCTCATACTTGACTGTGTAACTGTGTACCTTGAAGCACTGCTTTGATCACATACTGATCAAACTTGAGCACTTTCACAATCAGTTAAAATAATTTACTCACACAGTTTCCTTTTTGATAAATGAGATGGCATAAGTGTATAAACTCCAGCAGTTTCACAGTCAGAAATTAATTCTTCTGAGGAGCACTTAGCACAATTCCTAATCTCCAAAATCTAGAAGGTACTATGAAGTTCAACATTTAGTGATAGGAGCTGCATGCTTTTTATGACTTCACAACCTGTCAGCTAGTGATTTGATTATTCCCCAGTAAATGCTGAACTTAGAAAGTTATAGCAGCACTAAAACTGGGAAAAATGGGTTGAAGTACATTCTTAGCACCAGGAAGGGTTTTGACCAGTAGTCTGATTGACCAGTTCTACAAATAGTCCTAATATATTTTTTTTTGTCTAGAAGATGTCCAACAAACACATTAGTACAGAGACAGAAATTACATTCGTCCTTAGTTTATGCCCAAATTTGGCAAACCACCTGGGCATGCACTGAGTTGTAAGCTTTACTAAGCATTAAAGCATGTGCTTAAAACTAAACATGTGCTCCAAGGTCTTCCTCCACTTGAATAGATTTCAGCACACATTTAGGTTCCTACTGCACAGAAACATTACAGATTGCAAATTTCCTGTAGCCAAAGGCTTCAGCCACAGACAGCAGTTCTCATTAAAATGAAATTCTTTGAAGAATCTCTTAAGCCAATTGCTGCTAAAGCATATTGAGAACAAAAATTACAGCTCAGCCATTTAAAACACATTGAGAGAAGGTATTGCTCAGGCAACCAGTCTGGATCCACAAGCAAGCATTCCTTCTAACTAAAGTTAAATAATGACATATATATGCATGTGTTTGTTCGTAACTAGTCATCATGTCATTGATAACACCTGCACTACGAATCCATTTACCAACACTGCAGATTTAGATCCTCTTCCTAAACAATGTACAATTTTTATTAGATCAACGTGAGTATTTCACAACAGCAATCCATGGAAATTTAAGTCAGAAACTGGAATACACCTACAATACATTTTTCTTCAGAAGGGACCTTATATTAATCACTCCAACTGTCAAATGCAAAGCATGCAGGGATAAGTGTTGCTAAGAAGGCAGTTTATCACATCAAGGACAAATTCACCTTCCTGTCTGTATTTCACAGAAATACTTCAGTGTGGCTTTTTATTTCCTTTTTTTTTTTTTCCTTCAGTAAGACCACAGCGAGAAAATCCTTCCATTTTATGTTAATTCAAAGTGCCTCCAGTGAGGATAATTCAAATTATGTCACTGTGACCAATAAGCTTAAGAAAAGATGAATTAGAGCATCTATAAATAGAAGAACATTTCTACCTTCTGCATTTTTTCTTTCAGCTTCCATGAATTTTTAGACTGGCTTTATTTCCTTTGTATGCTTCATTACAAGATCTTCTAGCCCTTTTAACAGCTATTCCTTCAGACTTATCTTTTCCTTACGGGACTGATGCTTGCATTTACAAAGCAATTTCTCTGTGTCTTTTATTCATACCCTCTTTTTGAATAGCTACAGTTTCCATAGTCTATTTAACACACTAGCTCTATAATATGACAAAACCAGGGCAGAATTCTGGGGTTGCAGTAGTCTATTTTGCAGTGAATATGCTATTCAGGTGGATATACTCCATTGAAAAAATACTGGCTTTCTTTTAGTTAACAATGTAGAACTGTAGTGATTCGGGGCTGCATGCCTCTTCTGCAGCCCAGGGATGGAGACTTTTGCTGTTCTGGTTTGAATTTGGATGTGTGACTCACTTCCAACTGTGCAGGCTGCCTCAACCTTAGTTCTGTGAAAAAGTACAAAGGACAACTTGGTTTTTGTTATACATCTGATGCCAGATCTAATTTTCCAGAATGCTTGCATTACAATATTCTAAGAGAACTCAAAAATACAGAAAAGATTCAGAGCTACATACATTCCTCACTGTACTGAGTTTATTCCTGGTATTATTTCTGCATAGATTTTCAGAAGAACTGTTTTCTATATTAAAAAATAATTTAAAAAACCCCAGTATTCCAACTTGACCTCAACGGAGGAAGTCTGTCTTGGACCATGTTCTTTTTCAGGTTTTGGTTACAGAAGCTGAACACTCTGCCCTAGCCTAGCTCAACGATGTCAGTAGTTTCTTTGCTGTCATTACAGCAACTCATGTACTGCAAGTTATGAACACTGTCAGTGTTCCCCTGGATAAGATGAGAGAACTGGGAATCTTACAGGATTGGTTGCTGTAGAATACCCAAAAGCCATCAATCTTAACAGAAAAATGACATTGGTTTCAGTACTTTTGGCATGCCATGCCTTTGAATATTTAAGAGCCGTTCTTGTTCTGACTCTTGTTTGGTAGAAGTCATTTATTGTAGCTGTGGTATTTGATGTTTCAGTTCATCTACTTTATTAACAGCTTTACTTTGGGAATTCAATATAGTTTCCATATCTTCTGTGGTATCAAAATTTACATTTCAAATAGCAGAAATAACTTGTGGAATTTCCAATGTGAGTGACTACTAACAAGGGAAATACTTCAGGATTACATTAATGAGCATCTTACCTGCTTTTTGCAGGATTTCCTTCTTTGAAGTGTATTGCTCTCTTTGACTACACTTAAACCTTCCTCTGCTTTTTTCACTATACCTTTTGATCCCAGAATTTCTTGTTGTGTTCCCTTAAGCTACACTTCCAAATCCTAAAACATGCATAACATTACTTCTATGTTTATTACATACGTTCTTTTTTTGCCATCTGAAATAAATGGTCTCTCATTTTCTCTCTTGGTGCAGTTCCATGACATAAATCTTTCATCTACAGAGCTGGTTTAAATGCATTTTTTGCTCTTCTATACCCTTAAACTGTCTCTGCTGACAGAATATTTGTAACGTGGAGCCATTGCCTCAGATGTGGTAGGCACCATTGTAAAGTGAACACTCAGCAAGAGTTATCATCTAAAAGATGTCTGAGATTATCCTAAACTTCAACAGGACATACTTCCATTAATTTCAATTTGTGCTAAAAGTTAATGAAAATTAGTTTGGGCTTTTTTCCAGTTGCTGAAGTACAACAATTTGTAACATAATCCATAATACAGATGCCTAAAACCAATAAAATTGGCTCCTACATCCATATTTAATGTTCTGTTTCTGGAGGTTCTAGTCTCAGTTTCCAGATATTGAACATAATACTGCAATATTCATTCAGACAAAATTGCCACTTGTTCTATATGAATGTTGAGTAAAACTGTGTGGGTTAAACCTAACTTGTATTTAACATTATCTGTAGTTGAAACTTAAAGGTAAGCTTGTTCTCTTTCTCTGCCATATGCCGAAATTCTTACAAAACTAGACTGAAGAGATCAGACTTAATAACTTGTTATCCTTTGTATTCTCTCTTCCATAGTAATAATAATAAACGTGCACTAATGTGATGCCTTTCATCTACAGGCCTCAAACCTCTTGGCATGTGCTAAGGAGAAAAGAAAAAATTAATCTTCCTTAAACATCAGTCCTTTTATCATTCAAGCCTTATAAAAGCTTTTCTTGCCAGTATTTACTAATGATCAGAGGTATTATTGATTAAAGAAATATTTGTGTTCCAGTCCCAGGATTCTGAAAAAAAAAGTGTAATATTTAATGGTGGCATCAGAAACAGCCAATTTAGAAAGCAGAAACTTTCTACTTTTTTATTTAAACTGGAGAGAAACAGAAAATAACAATGTGTCTAACTGTTTTCCTTCTTCCAGATTTATCCTAGTGTGACACTGTTTCTTTAAAGATTCAAGGCAATATGCTCCGTTGGTATGTAAATCAGCCTCATTATATAGATTTAAGGGATCTGATATGTGCAAGTTGAGCATATGTGGCTCAGAAAATATTTCAGTTTTATCTACCTGACACTGAATTTAGAAATTTAATTGTTAATGATACCACCTTCCTATTTCCAGTTTCTATGATGTTTTACATCATTTATTCCTAAAAGACTGCATTTCTTATACAATGAATCAGAACAGTAAACCACATGCATAAATCTTCATGCCTCCATTCTTCATTTTTCCTGAATGTTACTTCAAGTACCCACAAGAAATGGGGATCTTAATTTTCCCTCTTCTGCTCCATCGCTTCTAACTTCTACAGGGCCAGGATACTTTTCCTTATTGAAACAAATACTATGGATTTCCCTGACTCAGTTTAAAAAAATGGCTTAGCTGCATCTCTAACATTCACTATATCCCCCCCACTTTTATGCAGAATACAGAGGTTGTTCTACAGATCTATGCACTGAGAGAATGGAGTCTGAATAGTGTTGGGGAAGGTGTATACAATTCACCATCTGATCCTGTGAAACAGGAAAAGGCGGTGACTGTATTGAAGGCTGAACTCCCTCAAAGAACATCCTCAAAAAAGAGGCCCAGAACTCTGCACCATCAGCAAAATGCTACTGACAGGCAAGATTTAAGGGGAGATGGAGATTTAAGGAGATAAATCTTCTTTCCCATCAGGAAACAATTATTATTACTCTGAAACACTCAAACTCTAGACCATCAAGGTGTTTTGTTATCTAATACGAAAGACTACTGGCATAGGGCTGTGATCAGGTCTTGTAGGTGAGGTTATGTGAGGGGAAGGACCAATAGTTAGAAGGAAGTGGAACTGTTGAGCACAGAGCACGGCTGGGTGCTTCGGCTTCAGCACAGTTCATCCGTCTCTCTCCCACATCCTGACCTTAAGTACCAAATACAGCTGGTTCGCAGATTGCCCGTGATGTGCCAACCTCTGAAACTGCTATCTGACAAATGATGACACTGTCCCGCATGACATCCTTGTCTCTAAACTGGAAACACGTGGGTTTGATGGATGGACCACTCGGTGGATAAGGAACTGGCTGGATGGTCGCACTCAAAGAGTTGTGGTCAACAGCTCAAAGTCTGAGTGGAAACCAGTGACAAGTGCTGTCCCTCAAGGGTCAGTACTGGGGCCGGTACTGTTCACATCTTTGTCAGTGACATGGACAGTGGGATTGAGTGCACCCTCAGCAAGTTCACCAACAACACCAAGCTGTGTAGTGCAGTTGACACTCTGGAGGAACAGGATGCCATCCAGAGGGACCCTGACAGACTT